TTCTTTTTTAATAACATTACATTCTTGTTCCGTGGATGAAGTATCATCTCTGTGCATAAAGTCTGTTTCTTCCAGGGTTTATTTATTTATTTATTTCTGGTTTCTTATTTTCTCTGTTAGCAGCTTCCCTCAGATGCCTGGTAGCCTTTGGTTTTCTGTTCAGGATTAAGAACAGGGGACTAAAAAGCTGATTGGAAGCCCTGAGCATGATGATGGGACTTGTCCATTGTCAGATTCACATTGGTTGATCTGAACAAGCCGTTTTGCCACCATTTTGCCACTAAAATCCTTAGGCCTTTTCTCTTGGACTGAAATTTTTTTTCAAGAGAAGAATGTAAAGATCTGGCTGCCAGTGTTCTAGGAGCCCAGTGAGAGCACAGCCTGGAGGAAGAGGTCAGGGAAGGGGACTCAACACTAGCATTCAATATACCTGTAATCTCCTTGGTTTTGGTGTGTCAACTTTGGTCTCAATTGTTCTAGTTGACTCTGTGCAAAGGTTCCTGATTTATGCTCTCCAGAGAATAAACCTTCAGAGTGCTGGAAGGTGGATCTAGGGATTCTGCTCCTTTCATCCAAAAAAACCAAAAACCAAACTCACTGCCATTGAGTTGATTCAACACATAACGACCCTCCATGGGTTTCCTAGGTGGTATCATTACACAAGTAGATTGCCCAACCTTCCTTCCGAGGAGTGGCTGGTGGGTTTGAACCGCCAGCCTTCTGGTTAGCCATCAAATGCCTTAGGCACTAAACCACCAGAACTCCAGCCCTCTTTATTTTCTATGCACATCCTCTTCAATCTTAACATGTCTGTTAAGCACTCTGTGTTATAAATCAGCTTGCACACTGCTGTCTGAAAATTGGCTGTCACAGGCCCATGTCTTAGTTGTCTACTGCTGCTACAACAGATACCACAAATAGATGAGTTTAACTCACAGTTTAGGAAGCTAGAAGTCCAAATTCAGGGTGCCAGCTCTAGATAAAGGGTTTCTCTCTCTGTTGACTCTTGAGGAAGGTCTTTGTCTCCTGCTAACATCTATTGGCCTAGTGAACATTGGAGATCTCCATATGTCTTGGCCTCAATTTTCCCCTGGGTCTAGGAGGTTCTTAGCACAGGGACCCTGAATCTAAAAGTCATACTCTGCCCTAGGCTCTTCTTTCTTGGTGGTACTGAGGTCTCTCCTTCTCTGCTCACTTCTCTTTCCTTTTATCTCTTGCAAGATAAAAGGTAATACAGGCCACAGCTTAGGAAAATTCCCCTACATTGGATCAGACTGTAACCTAAGTAAGAGTGTTATTTCCTGCCTTAATCCCCTTACAACTGATTGGCTGGTCACATCATGGGGGATGATTATATCATTCTAGAACTGACAAATTATGTCATTGCATAACTGCCAAATCACTGAGAATCATGGCCCAGCCAAGTTGACACATATTTTTGAGGGACACGTTTCAATCTGGTTTCCAGATTCCAAAATTTTGTTGGTGGTATCTCCCCTACTGTTCAGACCAATCTCGTGACTTTACATCTGGTTAAAAACATCTTTCTACTAAGTTTTAAGTTGGGCCCCCAAGCCCTTTGCCATTGAGTTGATAAAAGATTGCAAAATTTGGTATGCGTATTCAAACTCCCAATTAATTTTCCACAAGTTTTGTAACTAAAGTAGCAATAACAGTGACCATGTTAGTTGTGATAATGAGACATTTTTATGATAAGATTTCTTTAAAAAATTGTAGTTGCTGTTTATTATAAACGTATTCATGTTCACTGTGGAAATGAAAACTATAAAGAAGAAAGTAAAAGCTGCTTGTCATAGTGGTAAAGTCCTTGGCAAAAATGTTTGGTAGTGGTGGTTTTTGTGGTGCAGCCCACAGCACGGTTGATGGGATGCTTTGGTGCTGGAAGCAGCATGGGGGTGCTTGTTGAAGGACTGGCCAAGGTGAACGTTTGCCACTGTATTGGGACTGTGGGCCCAGAAGCAGACCACTGCCATTGGCAGGGTTGCTTGAGAGAAGAGTGAGGCTCCTCAGGCAGGTGGGAAGTACTATGTCAAGGCTTGGGGCCAGGGCCACAAGATAGGGCCCCTAGAGAATATGGCCGGCCCAGCCATGTTCTGGGTGACTTTGCATGATGCTGGAGGATTCTAAAGGACACTCGCTGTCAGTGCTGGTCCACTGAGTAACCCAAAGTGACCTAGAGACTGATCCAAGCCAGCTGTATTTTCTATGAAGAGTTTATGCAGCTCAGATGTCAGGGTCTTGGGCAGAGGAAGAGAAGGAGGAAAGAACATTTCCTATTCTTTCTTGGGTGTCTGCTCTCGGGTCAATGCCCTGTGATGTTCTGCTTTTCCCTGCTGCTTCCTTCCTCTCCCCACTGGGAGCCAGAGGTTCTCTGACAGTGTTTTTCTCAAAGCAACCTGGTGGCAGAGCTTCCTCCAGGGTGTTTCTAGGCTTCAGGGCAGTGTTGAGATAAGCAAATGGCAAAGCTTTCTCTGCCTCTTATGTCCTTATGTGCCTAGGTCTCCATGGATCCACTTTGGGGGTCGTGAAGTTGTCCCAGCCGTGCCTGCCCCTGTGGGAGTTCTACTGCTCCTTTCCCTCCCGTTTGTCCATGGGGCCTCCAACAGGGCCTCCCAGCACTTGTTTTCTTGTAACAGTTTGGCCCCTCAGAGCTAGAAGAGATGTTGTAGATCTGTCTCAACTAGTTCCATCTAGTCCAGTGCTCCTGCTTCACTGATGAGAAACTGAGAGCCAGACAAGCCCAAGTCAGGACTAGAACTCACATCTGCTGACTCCAGGCTCAGTGCTCTTTCTGGCTCTGCCTCTCTGACTTTGGTTGCCTTTCATAGGTATTGAGTTGGAGGTGTTTGGGAAAGTGTAGGAGTCTCTGGCTGGTGAAAACTGTTAATACACTCAACTGCTAACTGAAAGGTTCGTGGTTCGAGTCCTCCTAGAGATGCCTCAGAAGAAAGGCCTGGTGATCTATTTCTGAAAAACCAGCCATTGAAAACTCTTATCAGACACAGTTCTGTTCTGACACACATGGAGTCACCATGAGTCAGAATCTACCTGAAGGTAACTCGTTTATTTTATTTTATTTTTTTCAGTGTGGGTAGTATTTGTGGTGACAGACAGGGAGTGGTTTTGAGAAGGAATCACTGGCTGGTACTGGATAGAATCTGATAGAAATCCTCACCATGGCATACTCTTGACAGCTGTACAAACTTAAGTGTCATTACTGACGGGGATTGGGGAACTAACTGCCTTTGCCATGTGGCGTTCTGGGTCAGACCATTCTCTGTTGGGCTCTCCAGAGTTGTTTCTGTGAGGTGGTGTAATTTGGGGGACAGAGTTTCTTAGAGAACTTCTCAGAGCTTTAGAGGCTGAAGTGTGGGTTCAAGCCTCTACTTTGATGTTGGAATACGAACAAATCCTAATTTTTTTGAGCCTTAGATTCAGCTGTAAACTAGGAATAGTAGTCACTGCCCAAATGAGGCCCATGTGCCCAATGGAGCGACTTTTACCAATGCCATCTGCTCAGTCATGTATTTGGGCAGCAAATACTCATGGAGCCCAGCACTGTGCTTAGCTTAGGGGTACAGGAAATAAGATGCTTTATGTCTGATGTTCCCTTAGGACTCACCTGTAGGGCATGTTGCCCTTTCAGCTGGTCTCGTTAAAGACAGCCCCCTCTGTCCTGGCTCTAAGAGTCCCCCCAGCTTCTGCTCCCTCCCACCCCCTGGGGCAGAGCCAGGACTGAGGCACCCACCTCCCAGGCAGTCAACCCCCTGGGGAAGGGATTGGGCTTGTGGGAGACTTGAGCCTGTACTGTTTGTTACCAGCTCATGGTTTTCCAGGGAGCCCTGGCTGAGGGGGATGGGAGAAGCCCAAGGGTGGAGGTGGGAGTGGGGGAGTAAGGGGAACAGAACTGGGAGCTGGAAGGGGAAGGGTGTGGGTAGGCCCAGATCCAGCCTGCCTCCTACTTCCCTCCTGCCAATCCCCTCCGGGGTCTGGCACTCCGAGCAGAGGCTTGGCTGACTTTGCCTCCTGGGGGGGTGGGCACAGGAGAACTCTGTGTCTCTCTCAGTGGAAGGGGTTCAACACCCCCACCCCCAGCTATGGCCTAAGGTGTGGGCTTTGTTATTCCATTGGCTTGAGGCCCATACCTAAGGCAGGGAGGAAGAAAAGCCCCCAAATCCAGTTGTGTGGGTTTGGAGGGCCCTCTCAAACCCATCCGGCTCCAAAGAGAAAAGTGACAGGCTCGTGGTGGTGGGGTGGTTTAAATGTGGCATGGCCATGGCCTCTCCTGTCTGGGGTGTCCTTTTGACAGCTGTGCACAAATCAGGCCTTCAGCCTGGCCGCAGCCTGACTTCAGACCTCAGCTTCCTGCGGGCTCAGGCGCAGGTCCTGAAGTGAAGTGACATTCATTTCACTACATCCTGTGACTGCTGCTCACTTCCTCCACGTGGTGGAGGTGTGGGAGTGTGGGGGGTGGGGTGAGGACAAATCAGAAGGAAAATGTAGCCATGCTGGGGACCTCTAGGGGTGGCTGGGATTTCCCAGGGGGCGGATGAGGTGGGAGGGAGGGTGCAGGAAGCTTTCAAAGGAAAAGAACAGACATGAAGAGGAGGGAGGAGGCTCTAGAGGCAGCTGAAAGTCCCAGAAGTGGCGCCCACTTTGTCACAGCATCGGGGAGGCCAAGGGAGACTGTTGCTGCCTCTGAGGCTGCTCGGAGGCAGGAGGTGGCAGAGGGGCCCTGAGGAGCCTGGCAAGCTGTGCCAGCTGAGTCTGCCTTGGTCTCCCCCTGCTCTCCGGGGTGCTGGACTAGCCTGAGCTTGGAGCTGGTGAGGCTGGGAAAGGGAGTGGGGTCAGAAGAACCAGGCCTCACAGGCTGGCATAGCCTTGGGGATGAGGCCCTAATTCAGGGAGGGGTGGGGTCCTGGTGCAGCCTAGGTTTTGGGGTGCTATGCCCTGCTGACCCCTCTTCTCTTCCCCCACAGGTGGAGCCATCAGAAGACCAAATCTACGGGCAGACGGAGGCAGCTTTTCACCAGAGGATTCGGCACCAGAGGGCTTGGCGCTGGCACCTATGTTTGAGTGCTAACAGTTGCTTTAAAAAACCACAATAATTCCTTCCCCAAAGCCAAGCAGTCCCCCAGCCCCACGCAGCCCCAGCCTGCCTCCCACCGCCCAGCTGCCCGCAATGCCCTCCAGCGGCCCCGGGGACACCAGCAGCTCCGCTCCAGAGCGGGAGGAGGACCGCAAGGTGAGCAGTCTGCTCTGCCAGGGACCCGCGGTGGTGCCCCGGGAGGGGGAGGAACCTGCCCCCTGGCCCCCGGAATAGTGACCGCTCAGATGTGTGAGCACAGCCCATGTGAGTATTTGACTGCACCCTCAGTCTTCTCGACAGCCTGGCCAGGCAGGTACTATCAACACCCTTGTTTTGGCAATAAGGAAACTGAGGTTTGGAGAGGTTAAATACTCATGGTAGAGCAGGACTGTGAAGGTATTCTGTGAGGGTGTTCAGGCACCAGAATCCAAGTTTTAAACCACAGAGGGTCAAACCTGGGGTCTATGAATTGTAAGGTGTCTGTCTCATAGAGAGTCTCAAAACCTGGATTCCTTTTTGGGTATGGCCTCTTACTCGCTGTAGGTCCTCAGGTGAGTCACTTAACCTCTCTGTTTTAGCTGCCTCTGTTCCTTCAAGGGTGTTCAGTAGCCTCTAGGTAGCCAAAGACAAGACTATCAGGGGCCATGGTAGATGTGAGTGCTGGCCTTAGAGCTTCTACATAGGCACCCCAGCACCCTGCATGTGTACACATCATGAGTGAATCTCAGAGATGGGGATTTCCCTTCTTCCCCCACCCCCACCCCCAGGCTCCAAACATTTGTCACTGGGTGATCCTTGATGTAGCTTCTGGCCATGGAGCTTGTGACCTCCTTGTTCTCAGACCCCATGAGGTCACCTCTGTATCTCTTGGTCAACTCCAGGATGAACCTAAATCAGCCAGAGGGAATTATATCAGACTGAAGGAAACCCCTGCTGGGTTCCAAAAGGCTGCCTGGAATGTTACCCTGTTTCCCCTTCTGTCAGATGGAGTGATGAAACCATTACCACCCTTCCAGGGAAGCTGTTCCAGCCACAGGTCTTCCTGGCTTATCGCATCTGTCTTCCCTTTGTTCCCATGGCTCCCTCTCACTGCCCCCTCTCTATGAGCAGGGATGGGGGTGGTGATGTTCGGTAGGGCTTGAGAGGAGCAAGGCAAGTTAATAGGGGCAACAGTTTATCCTTTTGGAACAAGAGTGGAAACCTGCGTGCCAGGCATGAGGTCCCTGAGCAGTTTCTGGGGCTAGCACCACCCATTTGCCCCACCTGAAGATTGATAGCTCTGCTGACCACTCTGTGGGGCAGCTCTGAGATTTCCTCTCTGCCTGCCTCCCTCAAGCACACCTAGCCCCTTCCTGGGCTTACTCATTCTTATAGCATGTTACCATTGTCTGGGTAGTTTTCATCCATTTTCTATTTGGTCCTTGAGGACAACCTTTTGAACAAGTGTGGTAATTAGAGATGGCCCTAGTTTGCAGCTTAGGAAGTTGAGTATAGAGAAGTACCCCTGTGGGGCCACCTAGCTGGTCAGTAGTAGGTCCAGATGAGAACTTTTCCCACAGTTCTACCTGGTGTAGGGCCTGGTATGAACACACATGCACACATGCATCAGGTTACACATGAAGCCCAGCCTGGAACCCAGCAGAGAGCCATAGGGACGTTAGGCTGCTAAGTGGAGCAAGCTGGGGAGAAAGCTTATACTGTGGGCCCACTGGTCAGGCCTCATGGGGGCTCTAGGTCAGTCCCCTCCTTTTCAATCCCACAGAAAAAGAATGGATAGTCCAGGTCGGCCCATGCTTTCTTCTGCCACCAGGACTTAGGTAGTTTGCAGATCCAGGGCCTGCAACTACATGTACTCTTAAGTGGCAGCTACAAAAAAAAAACAAACTCACCATCATCAACTCAATTCTGAATCATAGTGACCTCCATTGGGTTTCTGAGGCGGTAAATCTTTACCGAAGTAGATTGACCCATCTTCCTTCCATGGAGGGTCTGGTGGGTTTGAACCACCAACTTTCTGGTTAGCAGTCAAATACCTCAGGCACTACACCACCAGAGCTGCTTGGCCAAGGATAATCCTTTCTTTGGGCCAGGCTTCACTCCTCTGTTGGATCAGATGTCCCTGAGTCCCACATACCCACCCACCCACCAACCAAGCCTGTGTCTGATGTCTGGGCTGATACTGACACAGCTCCATGTCCAGGCACTTACAGTGACAAGCCAGCCTGCCCCTCACAGGTGGGAAGTATGTATAGCTGTGCCAAATTCCTCCTGATGACACTAGTACTGAACTGTACCCCTGTGCTACCCTGGGCAACAAAGCCCCTGGCCCCTGTCTGTGCAGTGTGGCAGCTCCCACTCTATATGACAGTTCAGCGCAGTTCAGGGAAGAGCACTAGACAAAGAGTCAGAAGTCCCAGTCCTGGATATGGCATTTACTGGAGATGTGACTTTAGGCCATCTGGGCTTGGGTTTGCTCAGCTAGAGAATGAGGCTAGTAACTCTAGCTGTGCCTGTTTTACAGGGTGCTTGTAGAAGTCAGATGAGGTCATGGACATGGAAGTGCCCTGCAGACAGCAAAGTCTGGTCCAATTATGAGGGATTACGATTGCTATTATTATCTACCCATAGTAACTGCTCTGGCTCAAGCGGCAACAAACACACACCCAGTCCCAGATCCTGGTGCTGATAGAGCGCACACACTGGCTTTGGCAGGGCCAGGCAATCTGGAAAGAAGGAGCCGGGGCACAGCCGGGCACTCCTCCCTAGCTGCTCACACCCACAGCGCACATGCTGGCTCACCTGGCACACCTCCCTGGCACCTCTGGGCTGGCTCTAGCCACTCCAGGGAGCTGCCCAGGGAGGGCAGCAGAGACACTGACACCTGCCCACGTAGCATGTGAAAGCCAGGCCTGGGGCAAGGGTACTGCTGAGTTGCTAGCGGAAGACACGGGCTTGGACTGCAGGAGCCCGAGGAGTTTGGCGTGGAGTTAACTAGCACCTGGTACTAAAGGAACTATTTGGTGAGCCTGAGGGAAGGGGTGTGGCTGCCCACTGGCCACTTCACAGCCTGGCCCAGCTGCCCTTCCAGCCTCCTCCCCAGCCACGCCCCCATGCAGCTTACACTCCAGCCCTATCCAGTACTTCCTGGAACTGCTGTGCCTTTGTTTATGCTGTCCTCTCTGCCTGTTGTAAGTAGCCCTGGTGGTGCAGTGGTTAAGAGCTCAGCTATAAACCCAAAAGTTGGTGGTTTGAAACCAGCTGCTCCGTGGGAGAAATATGGGCCATAAAGATCATAGTTTGGGAAACATTATGGGGCAGTTCTACTCTGTCCAATATGGTCACTGAACCAAAACTAAACCAAACTCACTTCTGTCCGGTTGGTTCCGACTCATAGTGACCCCTCCTTGGGTTTCTGAGGCAGTATCACTACGGAAGTAGATTGCCCAGTCTTCCTTTGGAGGAGTGGCTGGTGGATTTGAACCACCAGCCTTCTAGTTAGCATTCAAATGCCTTAGGCACTAGGCCACCAGAGCTCCTTATATAAGGAGGTCACTGGAAGTCAGAATCAACTTGGCGGCAAAGGCTTTGTTTTTGTTTGTTTGTTTGTGTTTGTTTTGTGTTTGTTTTTCTGCCTGCTACACCCTTTCCCTAATTTTCTTTCCTGCTCTCTGGTCAAAGCCCTTGCTTCAATTTGCTTTGAATTACGGTTTGTAGCTCATCTGGCTTTTTCAAAATGTGGCTCCTGGACCAGCAGTATTAGCATCACCTGGAAAGTATTTCAGGAGCTCTGGTGGTGTAGTGCCTAAGGCATTTGACTTGACAGCAGTAAGTTTTAGAAAGTGTTAGAAACGCAAAACCCTGTTGTTGTTGTTATTGTTGTTGTTGTTGTTGTTATGTGCCATCGAGTCTGATGACTCATAAGTGACCCCTCCTTGGGTTTCTGAGGCAGTATCACTACGGAAGTAGATTGCCCCATCTTCCTTCCAAGGAGTGGCTGGTGGGTTTGATCCACCAGCCTTCTGGTTAGCAGTCAAGTGCCTTAGGCACTACGCTACCAGAGCTCATCCAAAGACCTACTGAATCAGAAATTCTGAGGATGGGGATCCTCAATCCATGTTTTAGCCAGGCCTCTGGAGGATTTGGCTGAATGCTAAACTTTGAGAACCACTGATGTGGATAACGGGTGGCCCCATGGCTGCCCCTAGAGGGCGGGACCCCAGCCCCTTTCATCCTTGTGAATCCCCAGGGCCTAGCATAGCCCCTGACACAGAGTAGGTGCTCAAGAAAATTTTTGTTCCCCAGTGTTGACTTTAACTTTATTTTAATGTTATATAAGTATTGTTGTTGTTGTTGTTGTGTTGTTATGTGCCGTCGAATCGGACGCAACTCATAGCGACCCCTCCTTGGGTTTCCGAGGCAGTATCACTACGAAAGTAGATTGCCCAACCTTCCTTCCGAGGAGTGGCTGGTGGGTTTGAACTGCCTGTAGTGCACACATAAAACTAAATATGTGCACATTTTGCTTCTATGATACAATCAAAACAAATGTATAAATTAAATACAGTCAAAGTTATAAGACTAATGAAATTCAAATGACCAACCTTCGCTTACAGCAGTAGTGCTGAAACTGTATACCCACTCAGAACAAGAATGTGGTGCTGACTGCTTCAGTGCTGGTGCCTTGGAATCTGGCATGTTCTTTAACTGTTTGTAATGACTCAATTCTCCTACCATTAGAACATTTTTCTTTTTAAGAGGACAAGAAAGAAAATGAGCATGGATAAGAACCCTGTACAGAATAATCCCATACCTCACTGTCAGGCACACAGGGTGCAGAGCTGTGGGTGATGGGCTGAGGCAGCCACGCTTGGGTTGAGTTTGGTCTGGGTGTCCCCAGTGTGAAAAATGGTTTGGTGAAGTTATCTAACCTCCTCTAACTTCACATGGGGAAAGGAGAATCAAGACTACTTACTCCTGTGAAGTGGAGGTCAGACATACCTACCTCCTCTCTCCAACCTTTTTACCAATTCTGACACTGGCTGTCCCTCCCATGGCACTCTCTACTGCTCTGCTGGGCTAAATAATTTGTTGTGATAGCCACACAGAACTCACAGACAATGTTCATGATTATGAGGTTTATTAGGGAAATCACAGGT